AACAGAAAAAGAATGGTTTCCTTCCCATTTTTCTGTTCACCTGAGCACATGTTCACACACCCCTTCTGAACCCTGCTCCCGACCGCTTGTTCCCTCCTCCTTTCCCCTAATTGGCTAATAGGGTACTGAGAGTTTACACTCTTTCTGTCCGCTTACTCCGCACTGCCCCAACACCAGCCCTTCTTCCCAATCCAGCCCTGCCCCCGGTGGGCTACAATAGGCTCATTTTGTTCTGCCCAGGTTGTCCATAAAAAATCAGGAAGTATTTGGCCCTCCTGCCTATGTGCCTGTTTCCCCATACCTTGTGCTATCTGATTTTAGCCCCTCCCCTCCTTTGGGCTAAGTAATTTTCTTTGTTACCCTTTTAAATCTCTTTACTCCCTTGTTTCAAATCATCCTTTCACGCCTATCAATGTTATACACATTGGTTTGTAATTCAGTTTTCAGATCTCCTGATCCATTCTTCAGAGGTCCATTTTAGACAGTTGCAATTGCAACTGTAGGATGAGTGTGGACTCCATTTGGGTTGTTGGACGTTTGACTGTTGGTTTTGAAGTAGCCACAGTTTTGAAGAACAAAAGTAGCCCAATATGATTTGTGATACCCATGCCACGAATAAAATCTGCTGTCTTTTGTAAACAGCTCATCTTGTTTGAAGTCCTAATTCACTGAACCAGATGTTCCAATTTGTAAACACGTGATGGAACTAAATTATCTTGGCTCTCAAATATTTAGAAAAATAGATAAGAATACCTTGTGCATGTTTCATCCAGTGTTATCACTTCCTTCTGATCTCTTCTCACCTTATCCTCTATAAAAATCTATGAATATCTTGAAAAATTATGATTAGAAAAGTTTCTGTGTGAAATAATAGACTTTGGATTCCTACAGAAGTTGTAACAGCTGCTGGAAGCTATCTTCCAAAAACAAATAAATTGTATTTCTTTTTTTTATTGAGGAATGGTGCAGGGCAAGATTCAGCAGGGTTTTGGTGAGCAGAGATGGCAATATAACACAGCTGTAATTGAATAAACTGGATTTGTGAAACTTGTCTTTGTTGCAACCCATGGCCCGCCCTTCCTTCCTTCCTTCCTTCCTTCCTTCCTTCCTTCCTTCCTTTCTAAAAAGAATACTAATATTTTGTGTTTGGAAACTCAAATACTTTGGCCACCTAATGAGAAGGAAGGACTCACTGGAAAAGACTCTAAGGCTGGGAACAATAGATGGCAAAAGAAGAAGGGGACGGCAGAGGATGAGGGGGCTAGATGGAGTCACTGAAGCAGCTGGTGTGAGCTTAGGTGGACTCTGGGGGATGGCGGAGGATAGGAGAGCCTGGAGGAATGTTGTTCATGAGGTCGTGATGGGTCAAACGCGACTTCAGGACTAGCATAGCATAGCATATTCTGTGTTTCCCACTTCCCCAAATGCTGAGAGGATCCAACAACAAACTTGCACTGTTTTGGTACTGGTTTTCTTCAGAGACAAGTACTGGAAACATTTTATAATGCTTCATTTATTTACAAATATCCCTGTGAAGCTAAGCTGGACACAAACGGCATGATCCTCAAGGCATGTGATGTAGTCCTGTAAGCCCCTGCTTGAGCACCTTCCCAACTGGAGTGTGAGCAACATGAAGGAGGCATCTAATTAAGCTGGGGTTTTCAGGAGCCACTTTGTGTGGGGGCTGTCCAAGTCACTTTCTCTATGCAGAGAGAGCCATGGAACTCTGTGTCTCTGCAGGAAAAGAAAGCAGGCAGGGCAGCACCCTATGATGTCACAGGGGGGAAGGGGTTTGAGGTGGGGGCCTCACCCAGCCGCACCCCACACTTGACATCAGTCAGTCTTTTACCCTTGATGAATCCGGCCCCTGGACCAAAAGAGGTCACCACCCCTGACTTTTAACACCTTATATTCTGTAAATAAGTGATAAGAGGGTGCCTCCAAGGCCCTCTTGCATTCAGACTGCCCAAGAAAGATCTCCACCTCTTTCTTAAACAAACATCCACCAATCATTCTAGTCTAGAGCAATTTGCATGCCTTTAGATGGAATGGATGGCCTGTATTCATGGCCATCATGATCACTTCCCTGTAATCTTTTGGTGTTCTAATCCTTGTGTGATTAGAAAGGATGCTCCTGAACTGTGATCAATTCATAGTTCATTTTGCAGATACAATTTGCTCTCAACTGAGCCAGTTTGGATACCCTGCTGCCTGGGAGTGTACGCAGGCACAGGCTACTTGGAGGTTTGCAGCCCACCGTGTGTCTTTGGCCCCTTATGCCTGAGCAGGCTTGAACACCAATGTTACAAGTGACTGCTGTCTCTTTGAGAGCATTGTGGTCTGCAGTGTACTAAGCTAGGGAGTAGTGCAACTCCCTTCTTAAAAAAAGAAAAAAAATGCACTGGCTTCATTAGCACATATGCATATTTGCTGCCTTTCTCTTCCAAATTCTGCTAAGCAGCACTGGGGAAAAGATTGATTAGTAAGAAAAAGGCAGCAGGGCGAAAGCAACTTAGATATGCATGGTTCATCTTTAATGAAGTGAACCTTATGCCCCAAAGGTTGTTTAGATGTAGCTCTTGGGCTGTACTAGTGTACATCACAGGGTCAGCTGCAAGTCACTGTTGTATGGCACTGTAAAACAGATATGTGCTCTAGTGTGTTGCCCATGTCAAAATCAGTGTACGTGCCAAGGACATCAGTCTTTACTCCTTGCTATTTAAAGAAGTAAAATCTGTCGAGCAACCTACTCTTCACTCATGGTCCTGTCAGAACAAAGAGCAGTAGCCATGGCCTTATTTACAAGTAGTTCCAATGGTTATTTTCATAGGTGCAGCCATGCACTTGGAAGGGATGTGCTTGGGAGAAACTAAACTATGGTCAAAACATCCCTATTGACAACACCTTGGCTGCAATGTGTTAGATGAGCTCTTAACACAAGAGCAGAATCTGTGCAAGTGTTGGGACAGAAGCAGGAGCATCCTTGATCAGTTGGCATATCTACACAATGCTCCCAACCCACAAAAGCTAATCTCTGCTAATTGCATCATGTCACTCACATATCCAGGTGGGCATGTGAATTGGCCCTAATACAGGAGCAGTGGAGAAAGGAAAATGCCCATGGGCAAATACACTGGAAGCAATAAGAGCTTAACATTATGTTTTGCTATATGCCAAATCAGAAACAAGTAAATTATTTAGTAATGTCAGTTGGTTAAAGTTGCCCAAGGAGTCATTTGCAGTGACAAGAAAGCAGTGAGTGATGCATTTCCAGGTCCCTTCCAGTATCCCAGATGATGTTGGACTGCTACTTACAAACTGCACAGTTCAAATGTGTGTTCCTGCCGTCATGTGGTACAGCTGCTAGAGCCTTCATCATGACTTGGGTCACCCTTGGTCACTCTCAACCAGCCTTCCATTCTTCGTCAGTGTTTTGGAGGGGAGAATGGGCCCTTGTTAACAAAGGCAGCATTATGGGTGAGACTAAGCAGGCTAACTGAGGGCTGATTGTTGGAGGGAACTAGAATCTTTGGCGAGATAGCATGAAGGAGAAACGGTCCTGGAGTTGCCAAAGGAATTTTAATTTTAAGAGACTGGACTTCTAGATCATTGCAGTCTTGTGGAACATAATAAAACAGGCCTCATATTTCAGAAAAGTACAGTTTCATATAAGGATGTCCATTGCCTGGATCCAGATGAATCCTTCCACAAATGGAAGATCTCCTTCTATCTACAGAAGGAACTGCAATCCTCCCACCTACCCACTGCTTCTACTTTGTATCTGCTTTGCAAACAGCAAAGGAACATCCCATTCATGAATTGTTCTTTGTTTAGCTCATGAATCTAATATCCCGGGTTGCTGAGGGTTAAATAACCCAGAGTTTTAACCCAAACACAGAACAAGAGTTAAGACTCTGGCTTGTTTAGCCCATAGCAACTCAGAGTTCTAGGGTTAGAACAGGGAATTCTTGCTTGTTGTGGACAGTGGGTGCAGAGTGGGAGTGAGAAGCATAGCCCATGAGTTCCTGTTACATGCAGACTGGACCTATGCTCCTACTTCTCTGGTGTTTGAAATTGTGATTTGAAGTCCAAAGGCATGTTAAATTTCAAAGCAAAGTTTGTGGCCTTAGACAAGAGATAAGCAAATGTTACTACCCAGAGGTAGCAAAATAGGGTTTTAAGTCTCCCCACCCCCAACCAAGCTTCTAAAATTGCTGCTTGATAAAGAGACCTGAAATAACCCCTAGGTTTTTTGTTATTTTTGTTTTCAAGTGTGTTCTTGCTTAAGGTTTAATTGGCTCCAGTCGGTAGGAAAGGGCTCCAAGACTGATTATTTATGGCTTACTGTCAAAAGGAGCTATAAAAAAGAGCAGTATTATCTTGGAGATGCTGGGAAGCAAAGCAGTGGGGGGGGGGGAGAGTGTGTGCATAGGAGTGTGTTTTCTTGTACTGGATAAAATCAGTTTTGCTGTCTCAGCAGTGTGGTTTAAATTGAAGATTAACCCTTTGACCTTCACAGTGTCAAATCACTTACAGATGGATCACCAGCTACACTTCTCTTCTCTTCTCCACCCCCCCTTCCCTCTCTCCTATGTTTTGGGGAAGAGGGGGGCACTCTAAAAAAAAACAAGGAAAGAAGTTGTTTGTTCTTGCAGCTGGGGTTTTGAGTGGCTCAGAAGCCAATCTGATTAAAAACAGCACTTGGCTAAACTCTGCAGAATCTTGCAAAAAAAAAAGTGGGGGGTTAATCCTTTTGTGCACAATACATAAAGGGTCTGCTCTTTTCTTTTATAATGTTGGAGCTACAATTATTCTTAAAGAAACTACCTCTTTTTCCCCTCCCTTCATACTCCCCCCCCCAAACATGTTGTACTGCAGGGATTAAAGTGTCTGTTCTTGAAAATGTATTTTAGTTTTTATTGGGATAAGATAAGCTCTTGGGTTGTGGTTTTAAAATTTTATATGAGTAATCTTGTTTAGACCATTTTTCCTTTTTACAGCACCAGCAGAACAGAAATCAGGTCTGGTGGCAGATCCTTCTCTTCCTCCATAACATGGCCCTGAACATGGAGGCAAACAGACACCGTGCGGGTCGGAGGTGAGACTTGCCCTGCCTGTTCCAGGTCCCAACCAGTCTGATGGGAACACTGAGCGATCCAAGGGCAGAAGTGTGCTTGCCACAGGACTGATGCTTGATTCCTGTGAAACTGAGGACACTGGCTATTGTACAAAAAACTTGTTTTGAAAGGTCTCTTCCTTCCTTCCTTCCTTCCTTCCTTCCTTCCTTCCTTCCTTCCTTCCTGGCTCCTGGTCTTCTGAGCTGGGGAGCTTTGGTCCAACACTGTTGAAAAAAAAATCCTCCAGTAAGTGTTGCTTGCAGTCAAGATGCAAGTGAGCAAACAGGGGACTGCTAGAGGGAGACTTCGGTTTTAACTGGTGAAGGGTATGCAGGATTTTTTAACATTGGTTGTTGGTTATATTCTGAGGCTGATAAATTGAAATGATTTTTTGGATAACTTCCAAATATGACACACTGGTTTCCTGATGTGAAAATCTGTGCAGAAGCAATTGTGAAATAGCAGATATTTACAGCTGGACAGGCATATTGGATCCTTATGTTTTATTCTTGGAGATATTGGTGTAAAAATGGGGTCAAGGCTTGAATGGTGATGTAAAATTCCTGGGACATTTGAGACCATGGTAAACATTAGTTCGCCCTGTCCCAATTAAAACAAAAACAAAAACTGCAAAACAGACTTGGGGGTGGATTTGAAAGCTATGCAATTCTTTCTTAAACACAAACTTTTTTTACTAGGAATCACAGGTGCCCTAGGATTTTTCAGGTCTCTTCCTTCAAAGGCAGAGACAGATGACCACCTTTGGAGAGGAAGACCCAACCATGCAAGCCCCTCTCTATGAGGCTACAGAAAAGTCTTCAGGTGGTACTACGCTCTGCAAAGCATGAAAGGCAAGCATTGATTCCATGGCAATTTCCTGGGTGTGCTTGGGTGATGGGTGGATCTGCATGATCCAAAGTAACTCCCCAGGTACCCAGCATGCTCCTGGAATCATTGGGAGGGGATTTTTAAAAAAAAGATAGCTGAAAAAAATAAAATAAAAGGGAAACTGCATGCCCACTCCACTTTCTACCCTCCTGACATAAGTTGACAGGATGTTAGAAAAGGTTGCTCTTTCACCTCTGTTCTCCTCTGACCCTGGACCCAGAATGCCTCAGCCTGAACAGCAAATGTATTAAACAGATACAATTGTACTGTTATTGTATATTTATGAAATGTTAAAGTATAAGTGCCTTAATTGTATTCCAACAATCATTACAAATATATCCACCATGCGAGATGGAGTGGCAAGATACTGCCCCAAATGTGCCTATTTTTGCCAATTAGGGGTAGGGGGACAGGAATAAATTAGCAGTTTTATTGATGGAATACAGAAAGTGAAAGAAAAGGGAAAGAAGGCATTTTTATCTGGACTTAGATCCAAAGAACCATGAATCTAGTTCTGACCCCTAAAAAACATAGAAACAGAGCGAGTTAGAAGGGGTCTCCCGGTCCATCTAGTTTAACCCCTGGTTCCAGTCGGCTCCATTCATGGCATGCCCACCATGTGCATGCCCAGCCTTTCTTTGAACACCCTCACCAATGGGGTCCCAAACCCTCCCATGGAAGCCCATTCCATACCCTCGGGGGTCCTAACTGCCAGGAAGTACTTCCAGGCATCCAAATTGAACCTTGGTTCCCTGAGCTTTGCTCCATTGGAGTGCATCCTGCCCTCTTCTGCAGGGGAGAACAGGTGTCTACCCACCTCTCTCTCCATAGAGACCTGTTCTCTACCCAAAGAGAGCCTTTGGGACTTCTAGAGAAGCAAACGTTGTTGTAAAATCTCTTGCACAAATGCTTTGCCACAAAGCTGAGGAGCAATATGCCCTGCAAGCGACCAGAAGGCATTTCTGAACCAAATACCTGAGGACATTCCATATTCTGCAAAATTCTGCCGTACTTTCCCAACATCTAAGAGCATTCCTGGTGTAATCATCCAGCCCAAAGTAGCAACAATTACATCATCACCAATATTACTATCTTTTATAGCTTGGATAATAAAAACAGCATGAATTGATGTGCCTGTATTATTTTTAAACACTGACTTTAAAAACATTTAATATGCGGTTCTGAAAAAAAAAGAAAATTTTGGACAAATTGGTGAACTATTTGTGTTAACAATTTTATGATACTTTCCATGATGTTGGGAAGCTACTGCTCAAAACTGTGGGTTAAATTCAGAATTTGTTTCCGCATATGGAAGGGCTCCTTCTGCCCATGAAAGTGTTCTGATCCAATGGAACTTTTGCACAGGTCGAACAGGGAAGAAAATGGTTTTTTTCAGAAACTCCTTCTATCTGCTTTGGTGGGCTGAAAGACCCACTGGAACAGCATGGGATGAGAAAAGAAGAATCCTGAAAAATGCTTCCCTCTCTTCCTGCTGCCAAGAGAATCCTAAATAGAGCTCTGCTCAGGAAGGCCCCAGCCGGGGCAGGGGCAAATTCCAGTTCCAACCTCCTGTTTTCATCCTGTTGGAAAGAGTCTACCAAGGCTGGTCTCCTGAGAATGTCTAGTTGTTAATCCAGATGTGAAAGGGGATCACTTAGGAGGTACAGCTCTGATAAGACTTTTGTTGGCAGACTATTTTGAAGGTCAATTTTGGAAACTCTGCCGTATAAATATGTTCTCTTCTAAGAGTGGCTTTCTGGCAAAATTAGTTGATGAGCAGGATTGTACAACCTGTCTCATGGCTTGCACAGTTTGGGGGAATGGGGTGAGAATGGATTATATAATATCTGCCCTATTTTTTTTTTCTTTTAAGGACTGCTCATTGCTTTCATTTTTGGTCCCTTATGCTGCTCTTTCTGATCAGTAAAAATAATTCGTATCAGTACACTTCAGAATTGGTGCCTAATAGTAATACTGTAAGTTGGCATGAGTAAACATTGGCTGTCAGACACAGAGATGGTTGTGATGATGGCCTTGCTCCCTCAGTCTTGTCCCCACTGCTGACCCCACCACTGTTCACTTGTTGGAGACCAAAGGTCAGAAGTGAAGAGCCTGCTGCATGATCTAGTATCTAAATTTTGTGTCAGAAGCCATGGGGTTGGGCAACAGGGATGCCATGGAGAGACAGGACTGGTTTAATTATATGAAAGATGGAACATCTGAACTGCACTCTTGTCAGTTTTGAATATGTGTTGTTCATATTGTTGGAGCAAACTTGTGCAAAAATTTGGTTGGAAAAATATGACTGCTTTCAATTAATATTAATCTGTAATTACAATTGTGGAATATTCAATAATACTGGGTATTATTATTACTATTGCCATTATTGGCAGTTCGTTAACACTGAAGAAATACAGTAATGAATACATCTCTATTTAAATGTGTGACCAAGAAATATCACTGTCAGTGGGGTTATGTGGATGAACAGGCATGATTCCTTGGTGAGGTCCAGGGAAGCCTGTTGTGTTCATTTCCTGGGGAAAAAGACTTAATATATGGTCATAGAAAATGAACACTTCATGACTTCTTACCACCTCTGCCCTTCTTATGACCTTTTCAAGTGTTTATCTGAAGTATATCTGCCAGAACATCTTGGCTTATCGTGGGTCTTCCTAATCCATTCTGCTATAGTTTGCAACTCCACTGCGCCTGGCATGCATACCTTCCAACTATTCCAATATTTCTGCTATCTTGTCTCTTGGAAATGTATATATTTTAACTCTCTGTATATATTTTAACACACTGTTGATGCCTTATTAAAATGTTGTTAATAGGACATGTTGAAGTTGTCCTTTGGAGGATTCAGCTCCCTTTCACCAAGTTTCTAGAAGTTTAATTTTGAATTTAGGTGTAAATATGCATGCACATTGGGGTGGGAAACCAGTGGACCTTCAGATGTTGCTGAACTAAGCATCCCAGCATCCCTGGCCATGGTGGATGTGAGCTGGAATCCAAAGAGTGGGGCACAGTGAAGTACACAACCTGTAATTGTACATAGTGCCTCAAGGCACCTGCATAGTATTGGAGGTGGATAACTTACATGGGGACCCTTGTTATGAGAATGGGAGCTGGTATTCCTACATCCAGCTGTGAGATGATGGAACGGACAGTGTTCTCAGAGTGTTCACTTGTGGAAGTGTTCTGCCCTTCTCTTAAATAGGTTTGAGAGTCAAACTATGGAGGAACAGCTCTCATGATCATTTAATTCATTTATTTGTAGGAAGGGAATTTCAGCCCCTTTTAATATTTTTAGATGTTTAGCTTGTTTTCATAGTGTTAAGGCCATTGATTTTTTTTCTATATTTTACCTTTTTTTCAAGTGCAAGTTTTAAGAGAAAAATAAAAAAGACTGTACTCTGTAGTATAGTTGTCCCTACCCTGGTGCTGCCCCCAAATGTGCTAAGGTAGAATACCCAGCATGCACAGCCAGCAGGCCTGGCTGGGGTTGCTAAGAGTTGTAGTCCAACACATTTATGGAGCACCAAGTTGGGAAAGGCTGTTTTTTCATCAGCATATTTCTCAGAGCCCTTGACAGAGGATTTTTTTAAAGCCAGCTTTTTCATTTCTTTTGCTATCTCTTCCACTTTCTCTGTTCTTTCTTTGTCAGTCCTTTTTAAAACAAACTTTCCTTGGAATCATTACGCTAGTAATAGTGCTTTTGCTGCAGTTCTTGGAAACTGAGATGGCAATCATAACAAAACTGTACTGCCTGAGGTAGCTCTTAGCTGCCAAGAATTAGGCCAAGGTGGAGGGAAAGGAGAGGAATGGTCTTCAGATAAAAAGAACAGCCCTTGGGGACTCAGGCTTCTCACAAAGTGCTGATGATCTTCGTGCTATTAATGCTCTGTTGTGTAACTTCTGTGGCTACATAGAGTACTGCTACCGTTTTCTTTTGGTTGGTGTGGGTTTTTCTATATTCTGCGGCCCTTTATTATCCCATTGTTCCAGGCCTGCCTGTTTTCCTCTGCCAACTTCAGCAGCCGGTTGGCAGCAAGCACTGGTCAGTGTTCCTGAAGGCAAAACCTCTTGGTTTGGATGCTTGCCCTCGAGGGAGGCTTTTCTGCTATCGCAGACTCTCCCTCACTCACAAGCTTTGTCTGTCTTGACTGGGGAGAGAAATCATATGCTCCCATGGAAGGCCTTTGCTACAACTTTGCTGCCTTCCAGTTGGCTGCTTGTCCCGCTTGGTTCCTTGTGGAGTTTGAATGGGCCTGTTTTGGCATGGTGCGAAAGTCTTAAGCAACACAGAGAGACCGTTCCCATGGAATGGGTGAGCTTGTATTGATTCACCTCAATAAGTGCTTAGCACAAATAAATACAGACATAAGAGATCATTTTCAGTGATAACTGGGATCTAACAGAGCTCTACCCTATAGAACTCTGTTAGAACCCAGTTCCACTCTATGGCTTTGGTGGAAAAAGTAGAAGTTAATATGATTTATGGAATGCAAATCTCAAGAAACCTTTCTATTCCACTAGGCAGGGTAAAGTTGAAAGCCACAGTCTCCTGGGACAAGCTTTTGGCCCTGGTTGCCATGCTTAACATCAGTTACCCTTTGGTTGTTGGAAGAATAGATGTTACTAGCTAATGTTATTAGCCATTACAAGTGCATATTATTCAGAGAGCATGCTAGAAGCACCACAGATAAAATAATGAGTATTTTTCCTAGTTCCACACTTTTCTTAGATTGTCAAGCTGCAACCAGGAAAGTGAGAAAAGTGGAAAGCTGCCTCATATCAGCTCAAACCAATAGCCCATCTAATGTTCCATTTTCTGATCTGACCAGCAGCATTGACCTTCATCTCAACCAAATAAGATTTGTTTAGGCAGGGTCCACAGCTCAGTGGCAGAGCACATGCTTTGCAGCAGGAGTTTCCAGGTCCTACCCCAGCATGTCCAGATAGAGCTGGCAACCCTGCCTGAAACCCTGAATAGCTGCTGGTCATCAGTGTGGACCATACTGGGCTAGATGGGCCCATGGTCTGACTTGGAGAAGCTCCCCAGCTTCTCCATTAGGCAGAGAGAGGGGACTACCTGAAGAAGCTTGGGGAGCAAGGAGAAGCAGGGAGGTGTTAATGGACAGAACAGTCCTCCTTGCTGCTCCAAAGCTAGACTGCTACCTTCAGGTGGAACAGAGGACACTGTCCCATCCCTGGTATTGAAATAAGATCTTTCTGCCAATCTATTTAGCTTCTGCACATGGAAGGGGGATGGCACCAACTTGTCTTTCTGTTCAGGCAGGAAAATACCTTGAGCTGGTCCTTCCTGGCTACCTTATCCCCAATGCATCAGATTTAAAACTGT